ATGTATCTTGTAAAATTCCTGGACATGGTGCCAAGTGCCCCAATGACAATGGGTATCACTGTTACATGCTTCATCCATAGTCATTAAGCTGTTAAGATTATTGTTGTTGTTGTTATTGTTATTGTTATTATTATTTCTTATTTTCTCCCTTCCAGAATTCTTCTGAAGATGAATCCCGGTGGGTCGAAGAGCTTTTGAAAATGCACACAGCGAGAATACGGGATATCGAACAACTTACCGGCTTAGATTTTTATCGGAAGACCAGTCAAAGCTACTCAGAAATCCTTTCTTTAAAAACATACCTGCATACATTTGAAAGTGAAATTTAACTTTCTCTTAAAAATTCAGCCCACCCATCCTCTCATGAAGTGCTGTATATTTTTATATTATATTTATTAATTTGAAACAGGACATTAAAATTATTAGTGTATTTTTAATCTTGCAACAAATCTTTAAAAAGTATTAAATCGGTGTCTGTTGTATTTTGAATCTTTAATGTAAAGCATATGTTTTTGTTTTTTTAAAGAGCTCCTGATGTGCAGCAGCTTAAAAGACTCTCTTGGTTCAAAGCTTCTTAAAATGGTACAGAAGAATCACTTACTTAGGTGGAGGAAATGTAACTTTTATTGCATTCCCTTGTGCCGTGCTTCCCCCCCTCCCCCCAGTCCTGTATTGTGTATTATACATGTAAAATGACAATGATTGTTAACTATGTGATAGACATATTTAAGCTTCATAGAGAATAGAAACTTAAATATAATAAAACCACACATTTAGGGTTTTTTCATTTGGTGTTCCTTTCGCAATGGCAAACTATTTCCCCTCTTGTTTTCAGGTTGATCCTCCGTAGCACAAGCATGGTATCATTTACTGAATGACCCTCAAATTATACTGATTTTTAAACCTAGGAGGCTGAAAATAGTCACCAACTTACAACCGTCATTGAGACTGGAATTACAGTTGTAAGTCATGTTGGTTGTTAAGCGAGTCACCACAGGATCATGATCAATTTTATGACCTTTTTTGGGTGGTTAATTAATCATTAAAAGAATCCATTATACCTAACAGGTGCATTATTATTATTTTTTGCTGGAACTGGGAAGTAAATGCTGTTTCTAGCAAGAAACAGCAAAAATTGGCTGTGCAAATGCAGACAGATTATCAAAGGGCAGGAGTCTCCAACCTTGGCAGCTTTACGAGATGTGGACTTCAAATCCCAGAATTCCTCAGATAGGATGCGCTGGCTGAGGAATTCTGGGAGTTGGAGTCCATAAGTTGTAAAGTTGCCAAGGTTGGAGACCCCTGGTCAAGAGGACAAAAAATGTAATCACATGATGGGAGGTGGCCATCGTAACTTCAAAACCAGGTTCTAAGTAGCTCTGGAGAGGTCCATTTCGACTTCAAAAGATTGCAAGTTGAATACTATTTGTATCTATATGAAGAAGTGCTCTTTTTTGACAGCTTCTGACCTCCTCTCCACCCAGTGGTGGGTTCAGAGGTGGGTTCCTACCAGTTCGCACCTATTCGGTAGAACCGGTTCGTCAAATCTACCAAACCAGTTAGAAGAGGTTCCACCAGTGGACCCG